TAGTATTTACAATAGAAGCAAAGATATTCCCATACTTCCCCTCAAGTTGGATGTTATGAGGTATGTAACCTGGATTTGGGAATAGAGGGAAGGAGGAGAGAAAGAGAGGGAAAACAGAGGAGAAGAGAGAAAAACAGGGGAGAAACAGCGAGAGAACTGAAGAACTGAGTCAAACTGAGTCAAACTGCCGTATTCATTCAAACGGTCATAGTCTACAAATGACTTGAATGGTTCTGTTTATAGAAGCGTTAATATCCCCTTCCAATGGCTAACTAAGTCCTGAATATATTTATATTATTGTTATGATTATATAACATTGGATCATAGTTATTGATCATAACCAACTTGCTTATGCATTCGTCAAAATTTTTGTTGGAGGTCCCTTGATGAGAACATCATCAACTTGTTTCTTTGTTGGCACGTACATTAGGCACATTATTCCGTGATGAAATGTTTGTCGACTCTGTCTTCTCTTTTACTGCATGTGGGGGCTCTATTCTTGCAATGCAATCAAGAACCCATCGAGGAAGCCATTGCTTTAAAAGTTTAACTTGTTAAAATCCCACCCTCACAAATGAGTTAGGAAATCAGCTACTTCCGCTGCTAAATCACCTGTAAAACACAGCTGATTAGGATAAATATACAAGGCCCAATGATTTTTAGCTTGATTGGCTTCCAAGCCTTTTTCTCATCTCATCTTCGATTGTGTGACTTGGCTGTCCATACAGAAGTAAATATATTATGTGACATTGGATCAGACACTCTTTTCTCTTTTAAAGTCAAGTTACATATAATTACCAAACTGGAAAAACTCTATCCAGATCAATAGTTCTAACGGAGGCCTAAAACTAGACCTTTTTTTTTTTTTTTTAAATATCGTCATATAAGCACTCAACGTTTGTCATGTGAATGTGAATGTGTTTGTGTGTGTTCTCTATTGATTGTACATGATCTAATAGATGTCCTGTGGCAGTCCGCAAAGCTATCCACTCGATGATCATATATAGCAAGTTTGTATTAAATTCTTATATCTGACTTTATTGCAGGTTTGATGATTTGTATGGAAGGGATATACAATTGGACAGCAGACGCCATTTGCTTGCAGATCCTTTTTCTTCTTGCAGGAGAATGTTGCTCCTTCATCAGTTTTATTCATATTTAAAAACAAAAAAAAGAAAAGGAAACAGAGAAAACTAACCAGTTTGATAGTCGATGTCACAAGAAGAGAAACGATTGATCCATCAGAATATTGTGGTGCAGCATGCTACCATTTAGAGGGAAAGAAGAATAATGGCAAGGACAAATATGTTAGAGAGGCCGAAGAAAATTGCATTTGAGGAGGATAGCTTAGAGAGTTCATACATTAATTGCATTATTAATGATTGTTAATCTAATCCATGTGTATTAATTGTAGTTACATTCTTTCTCATGTAAGTCATATTGAAATGATTCCCTGGCTGTCCTTTATATTTAAACCTTTTGAAGAAATCAAATATATGATCATAGCATAGCTTACTTAGCAAAGAGGAATTATAGCTCTGCATGAATGTTTTTGCAATGATAAAGTATGAATACTAATTCAAAGAACAAAACAATGAAGAATATAATTTGAAGTTCTGTCCAATAATGCATTTTGATAATTTAAGAGACTTGAGTCTTTCTAGGCTTTGTAAAAAGGAGAGTTATCTAATAGCCATTTATTTAAAAACAGGCATCGTAGAATATTGTTGCCACTGTCCACAGGAAGTACCCTTGACCATTGCAGAATTGATTGTTCATCAGAACTCTTTTCATTTTCAAGAACCAACACTATAAGCTTCATCGTACTTTCAAAAATATCATTGGTTACATATATAGGGTCTCAAACTTCGTTGAGATGAACAGAAATTCAAGTTAGGGACACTCCAGCTTACGTGAAAGTCTGTCCATTTTATTGATCCATAAATATCTTTCATGTCCAGTAACCAATTTAATCTGTTTTTCAAACTTAATCTCTTCCAGCAAAACAGTCTGCTTCTAATATAACCATTTCTCAACATCATTGACAACCCTTTGAATTATTTTAATTCAAGTTTATAAATTTATTTAACGTATATATAACTTATTTAGTTAATTCATATCCAAGGTGAGATTTATTCGCACTCTTAGCTCACACCACCCACCTCCATCAATTTTTCCATAAGTGATTGAACAACCGATTATTTGGATTCGATTCTCATAGAAACAATTTTGAGAAACATACAAACATTTCTATGAGCAAAGGATAGCTTGGGAAAATTTAGTACAAGTGGATAGCTCAAATAAGCTATCAACAGTATTACAGCGCACATATCCCACAACAAATAAATAGTCCAGTGATTATTAAAAACCTCTCAAACTTTATTTGGTCTTTCAAAATAAGCAAAGGAAGCATTATTAGAGATTTCTATTAGCAATGTTTTGCTCAAACTGGCTTCCTAGGACTGACCATTTATGATCAACCTGAAACAGTTGTTGCCGGGACTTTCTTTCATCTTCTGCCATCTCGGACTTCTCTTTCCTCACAGTCTCGAACTCTTTCTTGAACTCTACTGTTTCTACAATATGTTTCCTCTTCTGCTCTTGCAGAGAAAATAATTCAGCCTCACAATCCTTTTTCACTTTCTCCAACCTAGAGATCTGCTCCTTCAGCCTAGCTTCGTTCTCTTCAGCTTCATCCATAAACTTCTGGGTCTCGGACATTTTGGAAACAAGAGCAGTGGCAACCTCCTTTCGTTGAGTTAGCTCCTCCTTGATCCTCTTATCTCTTTCTTCAAGCTCTGCAAATTTATTAACAGTAGCAAATGCTTGCTTGAAAGATGACAGAATGTTAGGCAACTCTTTGTGCATAGACTTTATTATAGCCATAACTTCATGGGATAGAGCTTCATCTTCCAAGGAAAGGCGAGACAAGAAGTTGAGAGCTGTTTGAAGGCGAAGAATATAGTCCTCTGATGTTGCTATGTCCTTAAGAGGCATCTTCAAGTAGTCTTCCAAGTCACTAAGGGCCTTTGCAACAAGCTCATCTTTAGCAGCAGCAGCAGCAGCAGTAGGAACAGATGATGATGTTGGTGTTTTACCACTATAATCATCCTCCATGGATTGAAGCATGTTGATGAGATCATCATCTTCCAAGTCTTTAAGATTTGTCACAGGAATCACCTTCCCATCCTCTTCAACATCTGATTTCCTTGTGTTGAACTTGATTTGACCATGAATCTAAGAATAAAAATTGGATTTGAAAAACAGCACACGAGTCCTAAGCTACGACAATATTTTCCATTATGCTAGGATAAAAGCTATATATACAAGTATCTTAACTTCTTTTCAATAAAAGCTATGCATATCTCTTGCTTGATTCTCATACTATTGCTAGCAATTGTGTAGCACAAAATCATAAATCATGACTATACATAACACTCAGAAAATTTGATAATTCCCACAAAAGGTATCATTATATTTGGACCTTGAAAAGCAGATAGCTTACATGTGGAAGCGTGTTTGCCGAAGAAGTAACTAAGATGTCAGGCAGCGAGCCTGCTAATTTTGAATGAGTTGAAGGGGTAGTTATCTCAGCATTCCGAGATGATGGAGAACCTTCAATGCTTCCTTTAACATCCTGTAGAGAAATAAATTAAAACCTGTTATATATCATCTCACATATGAGTCTAAGCTTCAACAACATTTTCCATTCTACTAAGATATAAGCTTTATATAGAAGTCTTTTTAACTCATTATCAAACCATGTTTCATTTAAAAAGCTATATACATATATTCCACTCGATTCCCATATCATTGCTGGCAATTTTATAGCCACATGATCATGAATCATGACTATATATAATACTCAATAGTTTTATAAGTGCCAACAAAAGATATCACGTTTGGGCCAAGAAAAGTATTAGAAAGCTTACAAGTGGGAATTGTGTTTGTTGAAGAAATGGCTAGGGTTCCAGGGAGCAAGGTTGCTAATTTTGAATTAGTTGATGAGGTAGTTATCTTAGCATTCTCAGATGATAGGGAACCTTCAAAGCTTCGTTCAACAACCTGTAGAGAGATAAATTATGATCTGTGAGTTTTACAGTATTTGAATGAGTTTGTAGAGAGTTGAATTTTATCCCCTACATTTTCCCTTGATACAGTTTCCTTTTGAGCACTCTGAACTTCTAGATCTCTAATAATCTGCATCACCCAAAAAGAAGAAAAAAGGGAGAATAAGTTGCTCCATATATATGAATGATGTTTGCATTACTTTGATTTCATGAGGAATTTCATTTTTTGTAATTCCAATTTTTTCAAGTGATTGTTGTTGGTCCTTCAAATCCAATTGACTGGTTGATATCGTATTGACCAACTCCTTATATATAAAAATCAATGAACATATAGTCAAAATCAAATAGGTTAGTCTACTTATTTGCAAATACTCTTGTAGTCTGAGAGGCTTTTATGACACTTACAGTTTCATCATGAGGCGTTTTAGGTAGAGATATATCTATAGGATTACTTGTCAACGGCTTGCTAACTGATTGAGGAGGTAAAGATGAAGTTGGCATTACTGCAGGTATCTCTGAACCAGGCATTATTTGATTGATACTCTGGGACAGCATATCCAAAAATACGTAGTTAACTAATGTCACAAGCAGAAAAAAGACATATTAGTGCAAGATGTAATATAGTAAGATAGTGAGGTTGACCTTGGTTGAGCTTTCCGGTTCTGAATGAGCTAATGAAGTAGATATCTGAACATTTTCTGATATACTACACTCTTCAGCTCCTTCAACATTCTACACCACATTAGAAGATAGTCAATATTGACTGAACCACTTGCTTAACATGTCTCGTTTTTGCGCGCTTCCATCTTCTGACTCTTTCTTGTTTTGTATGAGTGAATAAATGCATTCTATATCATATATTATACATTATGATGTCTATCAAGCATAAGCAGGACCAAATCCAATAGATATAATGGATTTGCTGGGCATTCAAATAAGAGATGGAAGACATATGCGTACCTGTTTCAAGTTTGATGAAGTAATGGACGTCAATCCTTGGTCATTCCTCTGGTCTCCAATTTCTTGACAACCAATTTGTTGGGTGATTTCTCTATCAGAATCATTCGTGGATTTGATAATATCACTCAAACCCTCCCATAATGTATCATACTCGAGAGGATATCCTATCATATCATTAATGCCAAATAAATTATTTAAAATAACAATTGTATGTAAATAAATTATATCTATTTGAAAAAAAATTATTTGAAGTATATAAAATATTAATGTTGATTATTATATTCAAATATACAAAATACTTAATTTTAAGCACTTGAAGAATGTGGCATGCAGAAAATATTATTAAACTACATCCATATATTAAGTTTAGAAACATATTGAGGAGTAAGAATTCATCACATATGGTTATATATCTTGTCGACAAAAAATGTGCAAGTAATATAAATGTGTGTATGTGTATATATATTGTAGTACCTCCAGATAGTTTGTCAAGCATTTCCTGAGGAGTAACAGAGGAAGTAAGAGATAGTTTAGGACATCGTTGCACAATAAGGTGCCTCAAAATTTGAAAGCGGGGGATGGATTGACCGAAGTGAGTGAGGGAAGGTTCCGAAGGACAACATATTCTAATTCCAACGCAGGAGTGGCAGCCTCGTATGTGTGTGTTGTGTCATGCTGTTCATCTCCAAATACTTGCTCTAGCACAGATGTATCTTCTATGTACAATACCTTTATATTTGGAATCAGTCGACATGCAAAGATCTTAGGGAATACGCATTTCAACTTATGGCAACGTTTGATGTAGATTGAAACAAGTCTTGGGAAGAGAGGTTTCGGAGAAGTCGACACATTTTGATCATCTTCTTCAATGATTTCCTCCAACTCATTACAGTCTGTAATGTCAAGTTGCCTCAATTGTGGGAGTTCTTTCAAGATGCATGAAGGGAATACTTCTTTCAAATTTCCACAATTGGATAGGTTTAACCACCGAAGATGTTGGAGGAGTAAAGAATTTTTGGGACCCCTCCATATATGCCTCAATTTGGGTAGATCATGCAAATGAAGGTCATTTAACCTCAAGTTTACTTGTTGTCTATTGATAGGAAGCTTTCCGACATCAAAAACAACTTCTACTTCATCAATATTATGAATAAATAGGTACTCTAAAGTTTCTCGTGGGGCCACGACCACCTTAATAGGTCCTGTAGAAGTGAAAAAGAAATCACATTAAGCAATTAAAATTTGAAAATTATTGTGTCACCTAGTATAGACAATTAACAAATTATCATTGTGAAAAACTAGATAAATGCACATGTTGTAATTATATAAAATAATATGGCCAGAGAAAGTTTCCTCATGTACAATTGTGAATATATAGGATGATAATATATAGATTTAATATTTTTTATATTGATGATGATAGATTATACGAATGGTTTGATAATATTAGAAATAGAGAAATAGTACCTCAAAAGACCTTGATCGTCCTCCTGTCTCAATTCATCATACATATCACAAGATTGATAGACTTGGCATTAAACCGCGGACAATTTGTCAACCCCAGCGCTTCCAAAGAGGGCCATGTTGGATGATAATTTCTAGGACAAATACTAATGATATTTTGCATGTTTCCAAGTTGAAGAATCTTCAGAGCAGAAAACTCAATTATTTGAGGCCTATTCAGATTCAAGCCTTCATAAGGAGCTTGCCCAAACAAACTTCTCAATTCATCATTTCCATATACATGTAAATATTCCAAATGTGAAAGGCTCTTTGTGAAAGAGATAGGCATTAAGTATTCTAGTTGCTTGCAATTGCCTATTTTAAGTTCTTTCAATTTGGGAAATGCATTTTCGTAATTCTGATATTCACTTCCATCAACTATTTCCTTCACATCTTCTGTCAGTATGTGCTCAAGTGAATCACAACTTTCTATACAAAGTCTCTCCAAGTTTGCAAAAAGGCCATGTGGAGGATGACCACTATGCAAAGTTTTCAAATGCTTCACCTTTGAAAGAGTTAGATGAGTCAAATTGGAGATGATTCTGACTTGACTTGAATTGGTTGCATGGCCTATCACGCATTCTATCCCCTCTGAATCATGAACAGCAAGACGAGTCAACTCATTCATACTTCCTTCTATTGTTTGACACAGGTCAGGAATGATATTTTTCCAACTTCTAGGGATTCCTCTCAAAGAAAGAGTCTTTGCTCTTTTCATCATATCCTTATTTGTTGCAGTTGAAATACAATTCTCAAAATCTTCAATATATAAATTTCTTTCAACAAAAGAATGACAACAAGATATACGTTTATGACCCCAAGAATCTTCATCATCACTGCCAAAATGTATGCAATAGCTCTCCAGTGTTGGTGTGGCAGTGCTAATTTTATCAAAAAATTCAGCACTATTTTTATTTTGGTGTTCCCAATCTTTTCCAATATTGCCACAAAAATATAATACTTCCAATTGTGAACATCCTCCCATTACTTCAAAAGGATTCTTTTGAATTCCGCACCAACGCAAATCTAGTAATCTCAATTCATTTAGTTGTATGATGCCCTCTGGCAATTCATTGAAAGAACACCTCCACAATGTAAGAGACTCAAGTCTTTTTAAGTCCCTTATGAAAGAGATATCTTCTAATTGGCAACCATATAACATTAGGCAACCCAAGATATTTGCCATGGGGACCAAAACAGGCAATGGAAGAACTACTAGATCTGTTTCAACATATTTAGTATTTTTAAGAATAAAAATTCTGATCTTCTCCATATCATTGAAAAAATCATTTTGTATAGTCACAGAAGACTGAGAGTTTATGGAGACATAAAGAAAATTAAGTTCAGGACAATGTAACTTGTTGGGACATTTATCAATATCTTCAAACCATAAATATCTTACTGCATGGTCCTTCATTATCATATCTTCTTTTAATTGTCCCATAATCAATTTGCTCTCCTTCTTTGCTATCCATAGAGCTACATCACGAACCAAGTCATGTATCTTAACATGACTACCATCTTCATGAGCTTTTAGGAGTAAACAAGAATCTTCAAGCTTCTTTATGGCCCTATTGATTACTTGGGTCCCTGCCCATTGATATGAGGGAATCTCTCCAGCTAGACCAAGCCCTAGTCCGATTATGGTTAATTGATCAATCTGAATTTGATAATCTTCTGGATGCACAGAACAAAATAAGAAGAGTGATTTAGCCACTTCATTCTCTAAATTATCATAACTTAGCCGAAGACATCTATATATACCTCTGAGACCTTCTTCAACATCTATCCAACGTGAACCTCTCAATGTTTTCAATGCTGCAACCCACTCATCATAAGGTTTATCCTTCAAAGCACTGGCTACTGCTGCAATTGCAATAGGTAAACCATCACATTTTTTTGTAATTTTTTTTGCTATATCCTTCCATTTATCAAAGCAATCATCAGACAACTCAGCATGCTTCTTAAAAAGGGCCCAAGAATCATTCCCTTTTAAACCCTCCAAGGGAATTTTTTTTTGGCAACCCATCGATTTACATACATGTAAATTGCGGGTGGTTATAAGAGTAGTGCAGCCCATTTGATCGTTATTAGTAGGAATCCCTATGTCCTCAAAATTAAGCTTCTCCCATACGTCATCCAGAATAATCAAAAACCTTTCTCCACTGCTCAATCTAATGGACAAGCGTCTAGCTCTCACTTGTGTCTCTTCCTCTTTCAATTCCAACTTTAGTGGGTTGGCAATCTCGCTCTGAATTTTTCTTACATCAATGGTATTAGACACAACCACAAAGACTACTTTATCAAAAAATTTCTCTGCTTCTTTGCCCACTTCTTTTACCAAAGTTGTTTTCCCAGACCCGCCCATGCCACACAATCCTATCATATGAATCTTATCATCCTTAATAGCCCTTAAAAGATCCTCACAAGCCCCCTTTCTACTGTCAAAGGCCACAAAATCTTGTGAAGAAAAGTAATGCATACCTACAAGCGAAGTAAGTCGAGAAAACTCCGAGAATTCAACTTCATTGTGCTTTCTAATTTCATCTGTCTTCTCCTCAAGCTGCTTTGCCAGATTATAACGACTGATCAAGTCTGGACAATGCTTAAGGCAAGACATCTTGTTTCTTTTCTTGGTTTTCTCTTGCAGCTCCACCACTTGTGCCATCAGAGAGTCTGCTTTGTGTAACCAATTCTCAACTTTAGGAACAACCTTCTGAGTATTCTTCCTCTCATTTTCAGCACGAGTTAGAACCTCTTGTATTTTTGATTGCAAGTTCTGTTGTTCTGTTTCAAGCTCTTTGACATACTTGTTGAAGCGGAAAGGATAGCAAGCTTGAAGTATTGCTTCATCTACTAACTTGGTCAATATATTAGCCGTAACAGAAGCAACAACATCCATTGCCCCTGAAACCACACAATGTAGCCCAAGTGATATAATTTGAAGGTGCCATGAAAATAAATATTGGTATATGACTTAATTAAACGCAGAATTATATAGAGCAACTCTAGTTACACACAAGATCAGAACATTATTTTGAAAAAGCCTTACCTGTTATTTTGTGAGGAAATTCAGCAAAAGATGAGTCTGACTATGGTTCTTCTCCAATCCAACTGCAGCTATGAAACAAGGGAAAAAACACAAGAACATAAGAAATAAGGCATGGTTGAATTTGTAAAATCCAAACACAACTCTACTCCTTTTTCTCAGAAATTTCGATCTCCTTGTAACCTAGCAACACAAACACTACTTTCAGTTCTTCTAATATTGACTTTAATTTCAGCACTAATGCATACATCAACCTCAACGTTTGGTTTTTTACCTCTAAGTTTACTTGCTGTGAAAGTTACAATTGCTTAAGCTCTCACGTCAAGTTCCTTATTTATGCTATGATCTCACAGTCACTTTACACTCATCCACAGCCTTCTCCAACATTCAGTTTTCAGTGTCTCGTGGTAATTAAAACACCGTATCTAGAATTTTCTGTTTTTCCACCTATACTTGTAGCTTCTAAATTTCTGGAAAACATTGAGAGATTTAATCAATACCTCCAATATTAGTGAGCTAGCTGAATGTTATATACAAAACTGTGAACACTAATCAAGATCAAGAATCATAATATATATACAAGATCATACCTAAATGAATATACAGTAAAAGGTCATAGACTAAGAAACGCAACGACAAAGCCAGACCACATACTAACCTATGTATTGAGCTTTAATTTCGATCTTCTCCAAACGAAGCAACCAAATTGAATCTCAGTACATCCAGAAGCCAGAATGTAGCAGTGATTTCTCTCTCACACACTTTCAGTACAGAGACTTGACTAAGTGAGACCTTGTTCATACCAAGTCTTTCTTTTCCACTCGAGGGTCTTCAGAGTCATGCTTTTATTATTAATTTAATACAAACAAATGCAAACACATATTATAAAATATTGAGATAGTGGGTAAAGCCTGTCATAATACATTTTGGCATGTTTCAGAGGATCTTAAAACCCTGCAATTACACATCGCCACCCGAAAGAATCTTCTCCTTATCAATGGGGCCCTAGGATCAATGTAATTACAGTCATTACCAAATTACATTTTTATTTATTTTCATCTTTTGGTTTTCCCTCTGTGGTGAGTCATGCATGGAGGAGCCCACATTTTGGGATCCCATGCGCCGGTTTGGGATTTCTTCGTTAGGAGGCGCCGATTTGGGTTTTGTGAATTTTCAGGCTACTACTTATTTTCCCTTTTCCTAAGAACATTAGCACAATGAGATAATAAGAACAAAATGAGGTTTTTTGTTTTTAACAAAATTAGAATACAAGTTGTTGGCAAAAAACAGAAAATAGAAAAAATATATGTAAGTTTTTCTCCACTACTGTGCAAAAAATTAAAGTAATATCTCTTACACGCTATGGTTAAGGGGAACTTTCTAAACTAATTTTTTAATTAATATATAAATATAAATTTGAGAGAAGTCCAAAAAAACCTTGAAAATTATTAAATCTCAAATCTCTAGCACATTAAGATTAAGGGAAACTTTCTACGTTTTAATGAATTTAACTACATTTGACATACGAATAACAACACATCAAACTTTTTTTATGAAAATTTTCATAAAATTTATTACTCTCAATGTCGCTGTTAGTTCTTACTAAATTATTTTTAATCAAAATATCTATAAAACTTGTTGCTCTCGAGTCTAAATATTCTCTTTATGAATAGTGATAACTTCACTTTCGAGGTCCATGCAATATGATAATCTGATCACATGGTTTGATGTAGTTGCTTATTAAAATACTACCACATCAGCGTGAATACAGAATAATTAAAACAATAACAAAGAAAAAGAACAAAAAATGAGATCAAAACTATAAATAAGAAATTAATTCATTTAGTTTCATCTAAAATTTTCAATTGTGTAAAAAAATTAAAAAATGAAAGGAAAAAGAAAAGAATAGGTGATTTTATCAATATCTCTAATTGTAATAAAGAGCGAGTTAACTGAATGGTTCTATAAAAAGCTGTGAACAGTATTTAAGATCAAGAATCATTTTCATAGTATTAAAAATAGCTTATTACTGTCACAGTTTCATGAGGAACAGCTTAGGAATAATTTGACAACTCCATATGAGGAATTTTTTGGAGATATATAACAGCATTGACCTTAATATTTTTGTTAATTTCTATCTCTGCCTAATTGAGCTTCATTTGCTTCTAAGCAAAATATGCAAAGATGAATTGTGAAAACAACCTTTTAGTTTTTGTTATGGAGGGTAAGAATATATAACTAAAATTATGGGTTAAATAATAATAATAATAATAATGAACTGATTCAAGCTCAAACTACTACATATAGAATATACAACACTGATGTGAAAGATGTGAGATGTGGACATTGAGTCTTGCGCGGAGGAGGGTCCAAATTTTGGGATCCTATGCACTGGCCTGGAATTTCTTCATTATTTCGGTTTTGTGAATTTTCAAGGCATTATTTATCTTTTTTTTACCAAAAACATTTATGTAATGACATAATAATATCAAAATACGGTTTTATTTTCTCAAAAAATTAACTTAGTAGTTTAAAATTTGAAACAATATAGTAAATAGTACTGGA